GCGTTGACGACGGCCCAAGAAGCCCCCCAAACCGCCCCAAGACGGCCCAAGAGGCTCCCAAGAGGCCACCAAAACAGCCCAAGAGGGCCCCCAGACGGCCCAAGAGGCGCCCCAGACGGCCCCAGAGGGCCCCAAGACAGCCCCAAGAGGGGGACCACGAACCGAAAAGTCTAACCTTTCGGCCCAAGACGCTCCCAGGAGGCCCCAAGAGCCCCCCAAGAAGCCCCAAGAGGCCCCCAGGAGGCATCCCAGGAGGCCACCAGGAGGCCAAAATTATTGATGTCCTGTGGGAAGAAGTACATATTTTGCATGCGCGGCTTTTCGGCGTTCACGGCGTTGAAGACGGCCCAAGAGGCCCTCCAAACCGCCCCAAGACGGCCCAAGAGGCTCCCAAGAGGCCAGAGGCTTCCAAGAAGCCCCCAAAACGACCCAAGAGGGCCCCAAGACGGCCCAAGAGGCGCCCAAGACGGCCCAAGAGGGCCCCACGACGGCCCCAAGAGGGGGACCACGAACCGAAAAGTCTAGCCTTTCGGCCCAAGACGCTCCCAGGAGGCCCCAAGAGCCCCCCAAGAAGCCCCAAGAGGCCCCCAGGAGGCATCCCAAGAGGCCCTCAAAGGGGTTGGAAAAGGGCCACAATAGGACTCCCAAGAAGGCCCAGAGAAGCCAAATAAAGAGCGGTCGGTAACGCGAACAGCTCTTCACACCAAGGCTCCCAAGAGCGAATGGTAACGCAAACAAGCTGATAAGACCAAGGCTCCCAGCAGGGAGCGGTGACGTAACAAGTTTCTGACACTAAGGCCCAGCCAAGGCTCAGGAACGGGCGGCAACGCAACAATCTCTGAACACCAAGGCTCCCAAGAGCGAGGGGTGACGTCACAAGCTCTCAACGCCAAGGCTCCCGGCACGACCGGTGGTGTGAGTAATTTCGGTTTTTGTTTCTGAAGCGCTCTTTCCATTTCTGTGCCGGGCCAGGTTTCTTAGTCATATGCTCGACTAGATGGCGCGGGGCCTGGGTGCAGAAGCTGATGCTGCTCAAAGCAAAAGCGCATGTCAACCTCGCCCTGGCCTACACGCAGCCTGCTGGCGGTCTGGAGGACAAAATCTCCGAGCCCTCACAAGCGCCCTCGCGAGGCTAGTACTATGCCGAGAGGCAGCCATATGGCGTTAGCTTTCGGCGCACTTTCTGCCTGGGGTCTGGAGGAATGGGCCCTTGCCCCTCGGAGAGTTGGAGCCCGGGAGCCCTGGGCATGCGTGCCCAGTGACTCCGGCGTCTAGCGATCGAAGTCCAATCGAAACCACTTGTGTACAGTAAACCGACTGCGACTAACGTGTCCTCAATGTTTCCCCGTGCTGGCATTCCTGTCCGGATCTTGTCGACCATGGCCAGTGCCAAACCTCTGGGGACTGCCATCGACTGCGACGGACTGCCCGCAAAGAGGCGACTATCAATCCAACTCCAGGGGAGCTGCTGCGGGCTGCGGCAAACCGCAAAGCCAAGCCTCGGGAAGGGCGGCCCGCTAGCTGCCAGGACAGCGAGCGGGCCGCCTTCGGACAGTCCCTGGGCCAACTAGGGATTGCCAACGGGGTGCACCCGCCACCTGGGGAAACCCCAACTCGCTGCATGTTGTTATCGGTTGCTAATGAGGGCGAAGCCTGGCTAGCAACCCAGGATGAAACGCACTGGATGGAACAGGAGTCTGGACTTTGTGGCAGCGAGGCGCTGCTAGGCTACGCGATGCGATGCAACGCAGAAGCAGGCAACGCAAGGTGCTGAAGGAGACTCCAGGAGGCTCCCATCACTTGCTGCAATTAGGCACCGCCAAGTGCAGCAAGTGCGTCTGCATATGAAAAAACGCCAACAGACCCCCACATATTGCTGCACATATGCAGCGCTAAGTGCAGCAAGTGCGTCTGCGTGCCGAATGACACCCGGGAGCGCGATGCAACACACTGGATGGAACAACGTAATATTGTCACTGCTGGGACCTCACGGATACTGCCGCATGTTCCCGAAACTGTTATCGCATTCGGTGGGATTGTTCGCCTAATACGCGTTCTGTGCTGAAGCCCGCGCTTGCGACCTTCCTCGCCTGCGGGCGCGAAGATGCAATCTCGACCGAAGACGAGCCGTTTTAGGTCCTCACCTGGTGACCAACAGGGCACATGGGGTGGAGGTGCGCGCAGCGACCTGGCCTAAACAAGTTCGGCACTACGGATGCCAGGAATCTTGCCGTATTGTTGAGTCGGGCTGGCCGAAACAACGGACCGCGAGCTAGTTGGGCATGCCATGCATAGCCTCAGCCCACTGCCCTAGCAAAATCCCTGGGATATCGCCTAACACCGCGCGGCTTGTAATCCCGGAACTCCAGCCCTGTTCGTTGAGTCGGTCTGGCTGAAACAACGGGCCGCAAGCTACTTGGGCATGCGGTGCAAAGCCTTAGTCCACAGCCTTGGCAGAGTTCCAGTGATGCTGGCCCTCGCCTAAACACTTGCGGCTCTGCGGGTGCCAGGAATCCTGCAGTGAATGTTGAGTCGGGCTGGCCGAAACAACGGGCCGCGAGCTAGTTGGGCATGCCGTGCATAGCCTTAGCCCGCAGCCCTGGCAGAATTCTCAAGAGTCTATAGACCGGAAGTGAAGAGGCAGGTAGTGGGCCAACTGGGTGCGGATAGCGGCCAAGCAAGGATGCGGGGAGGACGAGGAGGGGGAGGAGGAGGAGGAGGAGGAGGAGGAGGAGGAGGAGGAGGAGGGAGGACGCGGAGCCACTCCTGCATTGCTTAATAAAGGATGGGGGAGGAGGAGGAGGAGGGAAGAAGTGGAGAAGGCCAACTGGGGCTTGGGCGGAAGAGCGGCCAAG